TGTGAGGGGGGCTTCGAACCCCGCGACCCACAGATTGCGAGTCGAGCGCCCTAACCACCTGGCTATGCCGGGCCTCATTATCATAGTAAGAATATCATCAATAATACGTATATATCATAAAAATTGCTCCAAAAATAAAAATGTCATCACTTATGAAGTTAAAAAGTAAAATAATAATATATTTTTACTTATTATTGCACATGCAATTCACTTTATAAAGATACCACACCGCGTTTCCTAAACAAACTCCTCACGAGTAAATAAACTGGTAACTTTTCCAAGTCAAAATCAATTGAACAGGACAAATTTATAACTTTTAATCCTCTCTTAAGCTTTCGGTTATCAGATTGATTACGTAAAGCAGAGCGTTGCCTGAAAGCTAATGTCGACCCCTGCTATTTCCTACGACGCTAGGAATCTTTTGAAGTCCTAGAATCTAGAAACCAGGTAGCCTGAAGATAACGTAAGCAAAACTTAGTTGAGTGCCGTTTATCTCTGCTAATGTTACTGCGATGCGGATTAATCATAGATGTGGAGTAATACTAAATGATTTTTCTCAAATTAAACTGAGGTTAAAACAAGCCCAATAAAAATTGCACTTAAGTATGTTGCAGTTTTCTAAATAACCGTTATATTGATTCAACACTTTCATCAAGAACAACTAACGAATGAAACGTAAACAGGCTATGTCACAATGTTTCCAGAAGTATAAAAAGAAAATGCTCATGCATAAGCGAATTCCATGTATTATACCTCAAAAATGAAAATTACTGATGCAAATCTAAATCTAAGTATTCAAATCCTAGTTGTACGTGTTTGCCGAGTTAAATATACACTCTTTTTTTCTAAAAGCTAGAAAATTAACGTTTATATTTACATTCAGAATGTAGTATAAGCTAAACATGTTCAAAAAAGATTCATTTCTTAAGACACTTATCTGACACTTTATTGAGACCCACTAATTACCCTTTTCTGCAGCTGAGACTCGAAGATATGTTAGAAAGTGTCTTATTAGATTATAGTCAATTATTTCAGGATAATAGTGTGAAATTGGTTCACAAATGTTGACAAATGACTGCATTAATGAATACAACTTCCAAGTTCGATCTTCGGATACTCAATGGGACTGTGGACTGCTTATTGCGCTGACCAAATAAAATGACTCAAATTGGTGTCTTATTCACCGAATCAATGTCCAGAAATATGATCGTAGTGAACAATTGCATCGCCGTCTTGGATATGCATCACTGCTGGGTTGATCGCTGAATGTTTATCGCTTTTATAAGGAAATCAAAATACTCAATTAAAACCACTAAAAAGTTCCACAAACTATTACATGATTTTCAGCAGCTTCCACTATCAGAAAACATGAAAAGCGTTGAATGACTCATATGTTTTTTTTTCGTATTTTTACTTTGCCATAAGTAAAAAAAAGTGAGGTGAAACACGATTCATTAGACCACATAACACGTGTCCAGTTATTTACTGATTTTAGATTACACTTTAAACCCCACTGAAGCTATGCTTTCCTCATTACCTCTGAGATAAACAGAGGTATCTATCGATTCTATAGATACTTGTTATAATACCATTTGCAAGTTGTGGTTGAGTGAGTCTTAATCACATTTAAACGAATGAGCTTACTGTGACACAATATGAAGACTGTTCTTTTCACCAGTTTCTCAACAACAGTTGACACCCATATTTTCTCTTAGTAGCAGACATTTTTTCCCTTTCATTTGCCATAGTGAGTGGACTGGTAATAAATATTTGAAAATATCAAAAACATATTGAACGTTAAATAGTTGCACAGTATATGAAATTTATTACAAACAAGACATATCCCTAAAAACTATACGTTTAGATAGCCTGTGCCTCGTTTTTTATTAAATCATATTTAATGTGCAACTATTTAAAGCTGCATATGTTTTAATATTCTATCTATGCACAAGTGCCGTTTAGCTTATTTAATGAATATTTGTTTTACAGCAGGTGGAAAAATCTTTGTTAATCATTGTCCTCTTAGAAAGGTACCCACTACCATTACCTTTTGAAAGTTGGAGGAACTCTTGTCCTTACCTATTTTTATTTTGCAGTTTAATAATGATATAAATACACTTTAGAATTTAAACGGCTCGAGCTAAATATGTATATAAGGCCACGTGTGTTCCAAAAGTTTATGCACCTGTCCATGATCTTTAGATGATAAAACAAGATTAAAAAAACACGCTATATGATGTTCATCAAAGACCCACATAATTAAAACTTAGTGTTGCAACTCAGTAAGCAAGGACCTTACTATTTTTCTGATTTGGCTGTTAATGACTGTCAAAATTAAATATTTCATTCCTCAAACAGGCAGAACTGGGCCATGTTCAAGAAATCTGTCTTAAGACACTTCTTTCCACTCACTTTCTATCTGGTGTCAGTCAGACTCTTCTCCCTCTTGCAGAGCAGCCTGCTTTTCCTATTCTCCGTGAAACTGATATTATCTGACTTAGTAGTCTCTTGGTGTTTATATACTTTTCTTCGGTCGATTTTTCTGGTAGGACTAGTCCAGCCAATGATTTAGCTATTTATCAACAACGTAGCTTGAGTTTTTTGTTATGTTTATTTTGCATGTGAAACATAAGTTCTTATACTATTTAACCATTGTAGTAAGTAGTATAACTTGTTGCTTTTTCAAAGCATCACGTTTAGGGGAGAAGGTAATTCAACCAGATTTACCTGGCTTTCAATATATGCATTAATATTTCCATTGAATAAACTTATTCCTTGCCTTGTCAGTGTCTTTCTTCGCTCCTTTCTCTCTTGTACACCCACCTTCCCTTATTATCATATTTGGCAGAGACACTCCCTCTATTCCTGAATATTTGTGTGTTCGTGATGGTGCAGGATGGCAGATTGTACGTCATGTGTCAACAGAGAAGCAAATTTTACACCCCAGAATCCTCAGTTCAGAACTTAGATTCAGCTAATTAAACTCTCTAGTGTCGACTAACATATCATCATTAAGTAGATTTCTTAAAGTATCTAAAATATTTTGATGATCTGAAAGATTATTAACACAACATTCACATACGATCAATTACAAAATAGCTAATCAAAAACTGACGGGAGTGGATTTTTCTTAACACACTTAACCACATGATAAAGCTCTTATCTGACACACCTACAACGATATCAAGAAAATCCATGCCTCTGCACAGATCCCGAAGTTACCATAAACAGTTAGACATATAAATTACCTCATTCAGTTTCAACTCATAATCTAAATATGAAGCCATCTGCTATAGGGACAAGACAGCTTACCACAGCGAGAGGTTACCATGGAGTAAACGATAGTCTTTGTCCGCTATGATATCCTAATTAGTTTTATGCCCTCATCCAGTAAAATCCACTTATCAAGCTGACTGAAAAGACGAATATTTCTATTGTTTTAATATTTAGCTGCGAACTGCCAACTGTTTTCCCAGCCATTTAGCCTGTCCACTTTAAACACAGTTCAGACATCTAGCGTATCCTGATTTCCATACATGGCTTTTAAGGCTAAAACTGTTTGAATTGTTCGAATGATAATTCTTCGACCTGTCGTTTTAGGATTGCATTCATTTTATTTCGCTTTACCTGGCTGTGTTTTCAGCTAGATGCTGTGTAAATTAGATCCACGTGTTGAGAAAGGAGACCATAATCCGCTTTCTTGAAAACCTTCCAGTGTTTCTACGTTGTTTACCACGCCACCTTTCGGTAGTATATATATTTACTAAAACTACATTATTAGATAGCCCAGTAATCTAACTGTGTTTTAGAAATCCAAGAACCATTAAAGAGCAACAGTCATGTTAAACCTACAAGGCAATTTTTATACCATGCAAAATGTATTAAGTATTTGACAAGGTGACCGAAACCAGTATCTCCTTTCTGATGGTAAAATAATTACTTGCCAAAATACACAATAAAATGGCCCACAATCTCATAGAGCTTTCGACAAACTTGGCTTCTAGGAGATGACATTGTCTATGCTACGTTTCTTGCGTGAGTTGTCCCACTGACAATCAAAGTCAATAGCCAGCTTGGACTCGGTAGATTAAATCTGTTTCAGTTTCGACATTACTGTGTTTCAACTTCTAGTCAGTTCCATTAGCAACAAATAGGGTCCTACTAAAGGAAATGATGAAACTCGTGCCATATTTTATAAGAAGAATAGCAAACATGTATCATTTGTTTTGCGTTGTTCTTTTTTTTGGCAATGGTTGTGATGAGAAACTCTAATTAATGCATTGCCTGCTATATCTTTAGTTTGGCAATTACTTTTCTATGTAATTATCTCTAACCTTAACTAAGGCGTCCCACGCCATAACACTTGTTAATTCGTAAACGAACGATAAAATATAAGACTATATGTTGTAACTCAACCGGGCTTTGAAGTTGATATATTTATTGATATCAGCAGCCTTATGTTTTTTGAAAGAAATGTATTTTCAACTAACTACTATTTGCTTCAGACCATCAACAGTCTAATTGCACTCCCCTAGATGTTTCTTTTGGCGACCCTATACAAGCTGCAGTTATGCTCGTTTGCTTTCAAGGTTTTTTATTGAATTTTACACAAAACTACAAGAGAACTATTTGCGATAGTGGTCCCTAAATTTGAATCGATGGTCAACATCACTCATCGCCAATTTTTAGGCAACTCTAATCGAATAGTAGCACAGACACTCTTATAACTCATACATACCGCCCCAAGGTGAGAAGCGCAACTTTTTATCTATTTTATTTGTGGGTGTAAAGGGATGATAACCAGGGATCCTTGGGCCACAGTCCGACACGTTAACCATTGGGTCACGCTCAGGCCTGCTTTTAAGATTGACAGTATATATCAATATATTAGCATCCCACAGAACAAATGAAATAACAATATATTTATTTTTTAGATCAGTTTCAGATAATAATATTTCGATATGGTTTAGTTGGGTTTATTGCTAAGTGCAAATCTACAGAATGAATTAGCTGTGCTCTGTTTTCTATGGGCATCGAAGTACGCAGACATACAGAGGAGTCACTGAGTGGGGGGCTCATTCGATATTCATTGCACTACATTTCCACTTCACTTTCATTAATAAATGCTCTTATTCCAATGTTTGACGGTGGAATGATATCCACACACTCACCGGGACACCATGGTACTTAGGACACTCAACTCACAACCTGTGGGTCACTGGTTAGAGTTCCTTCGCCGAATATGTTTGCCCTTTCATCCGTGAGGGTGTTATAACGTAACGATCAATCACATTATTCGTTGGTAAAAGAGTAGCCAAAGGGTCGGTAATGGTTGGTGTTGACTATCTGCCTTCTTTCTTACAGACGGCTAGCGTAGATAGCATTCGAGTAGGTTTGCGTGAAATTTAACAAACACATTTTTCGAGTATAAACCACAACTCACAATTGATTTTATGTGCTTACAAAATGAAATGTTCTAATGTCATTTCTATTAATAATATTATATCTTATAGTGAATTGATCTTTGGCTCTCTTTCTTTGTACGATTTTAGAGTATCGCTTTGTTTTATAATCATTTTTCTAGTGCTTGATGCGTCAGGTAAACCTAGCGGTGGACTGCTCAGTGGAACGCTGACATCATTTGGGTCATACGATGAATGCATAAATGTCATTGTCAACGAATGGAACAAAGTTTCGAACAAGACTGAAGTGTATTTTACAGGCCAATACTGCACTGTGGATATTAGGCCTCCACTTCCTCCGAAACCTCATTACTACACAGTTCACCACAGGTTGGAAATGTTCGAAAACTCGTCAGACTCCTTCAAGGTAGGAGAGAAAATCAGAATATTCGTATATAAAAAGATAGATCGTTTGATTATAAAAAAATTATAAAATCATCCAAAGTAAAATGTATTTGAAACTGTGCTGTTTAAGGTCATCAAAATTGTACTTTCCTTCATTACGAGTAAATGACCATTTAAATCTGGTGAAAGAATGTCCACATCCAGAAAGTGCTTATTTTGGATTGCCTCCCCAGTGGCACAGCGGAATGTCTGCGGACTTACAACGCTAAAAACCGGTTTTAGATACATGTTTTGGGCAGAGCACAGATAGCCCATTGTGTGGCTTTGTGATTAATTACAAACAAATAATACTTTTGAATATCATGAATTAAGCTATAAAATATTTTATTAGGTCTGAATTCCTCGTCATTGAGCTTAACAAATTGGTAAGAGCTAAAATTACTCAAAAATTGTTATTCTTGATTAATCATGCAATGGCTTCTGCTATATAAATTGACATGTTTTATTTTTCCAACAACATGCAAGATCTGTTCTAGATTATTAAAACAAAAGTAGCGTTAACTTGAAAGGAGCTCTTAGGCTGGCCATTTTATCAGCTTTCGTTATTATTCTACTAGATTCTGGCAGATGTCAGCAACAGAGCTCATGTTTTCTATTTTCTGTCGCTACGATTGGGACTCTGTATTCCATCAACATGTTCAGCAAGAGATCTGGAACAATTTGCCCAAAAACGTAAGTTTCACTTGCAGTAAACAACCTACATTTTTATCATTACCTTCCTGCCGCTATCATAAAAGGTTTCTTGTTTGCTTCTTCGGCCTTCAATATTATTTTGTTTTTCGCACTTGTTTTATTGACTGTTCCATTAAACGTTTTATAAACTGTTAAATATTCTGTAAATTTTTTTGATCTGTCTAGGTAGCGCTCTGTTCATTCATATCAAAATATTTATATCATTTAACTTTATTTTAGTCTATTTCGAAACATGTGTGTTTAATTCATGTTATTTTTATATAAAGAGTCGACTGTAGTTTATATTTATTATATTCAACCTTTCTTTCTTATATATATATTACTTAAATAACGTAAATCTATTTTACCACAACATTCCTAACTTACCTGCTTTCTAACTGTGTTCAAATGTTCGAAGGTATGCACGAATGTTTTACGTAGAGGTTTAATTGTGCGTTATAAGAGCCACGATTCACAACCAATGTTTTCTTTAGAACCACATCCTCCATCATTGATTATGGTCAGCATGAAGATTATACACAATACCTATTGCCTGACATATGGTATTTTTTACTGTAACAAGCTTCTACAATGGGCTTTGGAGTCAATTTTAGACTTCACAACTTGATAAACTTTCCACAGATTTTCTACTTCATATAGACGTCAACTTCCAAGACCAAATTCAAGCAAAACAAAGACTTAATAGCTCATCTTAGCTGCATTTGAGGACTTGATAGGTATGTGAACAAACTAGAATCCTGGGTTACACTCTCTTCGGTCTGTATTTTTCTCACAAAAGAAGGCATTTATTTCAGTTTGTGGCTGAAACCTCGTAGTCTTTTGGTTTGTTAATATTTATCAATTGAACTTCAAATCATTATTTATGATCTTTTTAATGGTACTAGGAGACATGACCAGCTTCATTGTAAGGATTTTTGGTGTCAACGTGCTCTTTTCATAACCATATTCTCAGTATGCGGATGACATGCTGCTCCCGGTTGGTTTTGGCATGATTCAAAAATTCACTTACTCTCCTATGCGAGATTTTTCATCTCTATAGATAACATTGAAAACTCTCCCGTGTTTAGCAGTTTTCCTGTATTAACCTGTATTAATATTTTTATTTCGAAAGGGCTTTGACAACGCTTCATTCATAACTGTAGACTTGACAGCTAGGCACTGTCGAATGTTCGGGAATATAGTCACCAAATAAGACATCCGTTGAGCCAGCGCCATAGCATGTACCTATGATGTCAACCCAGTGCATTCGCATATGTCTATTGTTTTTAAACAACAGCTTAATCCTCTATAACCTATATGAGAAATTTAGATGAAGCAGTGCAAAGCAATTTTCACATTTCGTATTCGCTTTTGAGGTTCTGAGATTGAGCATTGAGTAACTGATATTCATTCAAATAAGTTCTGTATTTTTATTCTTTAATCTAGCTAAGTTTTTATGACTGTATTTGAAAGCTTATATTGACTATTGTTTAAACCAAAAAAAACATTATTATTTATTTTCTTTCATGTGGTACACAGTGGTAGAAGATTATGGATTTTTAGTGTCTGTTGCTCACTGTGAAATATATGAACCTATGCACGTGAACAATGCACAAATTGCAGTGATGTAAGTACAAATAAAACATATTCTTCATATTATAGAACATTTATTGTTGTTATTTTCCAATCACAACATTTGATATTTCTACCTAATTTCTTTTCAATAATAATTTCCACCTAGTTGTTTAATATTAAGTAATTATGGTCATGAAATAAATATTTAAAAATGTAACTTTACATTTAACAATATAATTATATATTCCCCCAGATACATCAAATTAGTCAATACTGTATTGTGTTATTTGTTAAAAAGTATGATATCAGTTATTAAGATCAAAGATTTAATAAAACGTATCAATGAATATGATCCATAGATATCAAAATATAATATATCCTATTTATTTTAGCTCCGTGATCAGTCTTATCGCTTTCTTTGTCTTCGCTGCTACGATCTTCGATATTCTTTGCCGATTTTGTTTTGGCAAAAAAGCTAAAGAAAACAAAAAACCTCCAGGTACGATATGATTTGCGATCTAGTTAGAAATAGTTGGATAATTAAATTAGCTTTTATTTTTAAGTTTGGAGAGAGCTGATTGGTAAAGTACATTTTTAAGTTAATAAATATGTTGAATAAAGGTGTCTTCAGGTTGGGCAACAATTACATTTTTGGTTTCTACAACCATTTAAGTGCGATTATGTCTTATATGATATCAAACAAATTGCATTTCGCACAACAGCAAAATGGCAATGTTCGTGATCTTACTAAGCAAAAACTAGTCTTCCAAAAGTAAAATAATGTGGTATGTTTTGGAGGTATTGAAGCGTGCTTGGAAGGACTGGAAATTGATAACCTTAGATCATGATCGTGTTGATATCCTTTAGTTCTTTAATATCTTAGAGTTGGTCTAAATTAGATAGAATTTATTTTAAACTTCTCTAAACAGCGGTTTCATGGTATTTTTGTAATAAAACCAGAGGCAGTTTATATCACCGTTGTATGTTGATAGTCCTTAGGATGTGTGTATAGATTACACAGACCTGTGAATTTAAACTTCATAAAAGTTGTTTTGGTTTTAATAACGGGCTTTCTATAATTCAGCTACGTAGATTTCGAAAATAATATTCACTTTTTCTATCGCATAAGGATATTTTACAAATATGGAAGAAACGAAACTCTTACTTAGATCAAATTATTAGTTCGTTTACCACAATGAACATTTATTATTATGTTTGGGTTCTAGAACGAACGATAAGACTCTCACGTCGCGATTGGTCTAGAGAAATCTTTAGCCAGTAGTTGTCAACATTTTAAGCATAACAAAATATGACCCGATTTCAATGACAATGAATCACTTATGTAAAAGTACATATGACGTTTTGTGAAAAATGTATACGTGATGGAGAAAATTGGATATCATTTTCTTATTCAGCGTAAAGGAATTACTGGAGAACATGTAAAATTTTCAAGACAATAAAACCATCGCAGGCCTGTGTTATCACTGTAACTTTTAAATTTCATGACTCATTACATCTTAATCTGGGCATAACATTATAACAGTGTTACTTTTTCGTTTTATGTCCCTTTGATTTTTAAGCTGCAGATGTATTATAATACTATTTTTACATTTCATGTCTCGTTAGCTTTTAATCTGTACGTAAATTGTAATATTACTTTTTGTTTTATGCCCCTTTAATTTTTAAATTGCACGTAGTTTAGCAGTGTTACTTTTTTGTCTCGTTAACTGGTAATTGCTTATTACTTTGAGAATTCATCTACAGTAGTCTTTTCTTGAAATAACGATATAATTTTTTACCTACAATTAAGGAAGTACTTTTACATTAGGTTGTGTAAGTACATATACATATAATTACATAAACACGTGTGGAAAAGCCGTTTGGCTGTAAATATCTTAGCAAAAGTTGAAGAAAAGATAAAAGAAAAACTGTTTACGTCCTCAGACCTTGAAAATCTCTCTGCGACTATTTCTACATTTTATAACAAAAATATATTTTTAGAACTGTTTGTTGCACTACTTAAAAACATAATAATAACGTAATAGTAAGTGCATCAACGTGCACTCAGATGTTCCAGTTAGGTAGATTTTATTTTTTTTATTGAAGCAATTTAATTTTTTCATTCAGGTGCTTTTAAAAAAATCGTTCTGGCTTTTTCTGCGTACACCAACATCGGGAAGCTTTTGGACACCAGAACATCATTGGAAGGCCTACTATCTCTTCACGGAATTCGGTTTGTTAGTATGGTATGGATTATCTGTGGTAATATCTTCCTCAGCATGAAGTACCAAATCTTTCGTGAGTGTTCCTCTTTCACTTTTACGTTTGAAAAAATATGCTGCTTGTAATATGTCTTTTCTCTTAAACGTCTCTTTTCGTCATTCAGTAATATTTCGGTTTTTGTTTAGTCTGACGTTACGGTCTCTCATGAAAATAATCAGTCTCGGTCTTCTTTGGGGTTTGATCAAAGAAACTTCACGTGAAAACATAACTTCTTCGTTAATTACTCAACTACAGCTTCAATTTAAAAATCAGGCGATGAATAAATTTGAAACTTATTTCTTGATTTGTTGGGTTTATACTAACAGGTCACCGGAGACTTGTAAATTATAGACTGGTAAATTTTTAATTTATGTATATTATTTACATGTGCATCCCAATTTCACTTGCTAACTCAATTACTATATTAGGCTTAGTAATTCTGTATTAAAAAGTGAAGTTTTTGTATTCAGCAGCCAAATTCAAAACTGTAAATTAAATATGTGTTTTGGTTTGGAATTTGTATTTTCGTTAAGCTTCAAACTATTCTATTTAATAACTTTATTATGTTTCTGTTTTTTGTTTTTGTTTTGTTGTTGTTGTTGTTGCTATTATTTCTTTGGTAAATTTTTCTTAACCGTGTATTAAGCGAACAAACCTCTCTCCTCTCATTTTCCATAAAACATTGGTAAGATAGGAGTTAAGTCTATTATAGATAAAACAAAGTTAGATGCTTCTTAACCATCATAGAAATACATGTTTATGAATTAGCTGCGGTATTCATTAACACTAAGCGTATATAAATACACATGTGGTGGCTGCAATGCCACTTACATTGGCAAAACTATACGCCAATTACACCTGCGAGCCTGCGGCCATGTGGGAGTATCAAGTAGAACTGGTAAAAAACCACTAAGCTTTGACATTGAAGTGATGATTCGTACTCTTTTTTGTCCTTACTAATTATCAGGTCCTTTGATTTTGTAGTGAAAGAAAAGCATAGAAGATGCATTTTTCCCCCTTTTTTTGTTATAAACTAAGCATATATCAAATAAAATTACCATATTCATAAATACATGGTGCGATTCTTGTGATTCTAGCGCCTTCTAGACTCAGTTGTGTCGATTAATTGGAAGTGGATATAATGAACATGTTAGTTTAGTTTTAAATAACGGTGAATGACAGATTAAAAACAATTCAATGATCCAGTAGCCAGTTGTTAAATCCTAGCTGACTGCGTCAGACGTAATGATATTAATGATGAATTAGTTTTCTAAAATACTGTGACACAAGAACATAGATCTGAAGAAGAAACACACTGTACGCATATATTATTAAGTCACGAAATAGCGACCCACAAAGTAAATAAAGAAATTTTCAAAGATCCCACTATCAAACACTAAAGTCCCCTTTGACGAAATTCGCCATGTATTTTCTACAGATTACCTAACATTTTTTTTTATATTGCACATAAGAGGTTTACAATTACAACAATAGTTAATTCAATGCAGGATATTTTTGTACCTATTTTATATGTTTCCAGGATTATCATGGTTCTCGAATCTTATATGAATTAGGTATTTCAACTAGCCTAACACTGAGTTGAAATTTTGCTTGTTAGTTAAAGTATCTAATGGAAAAAAAGTTATCAAAATTAAAGTGCTGTTTCAATAATTCTTTCCGTTTTCCTACTTCGTATTTTTATTTATTTTTTATTTGTTTC